AAGGTTGGCTGTAATGACGCTCTGTCTCTTGTCCTGGGTGTACACTCTCTCAGACTGCTACCCGCCCATCTCTTGATGTTGTCCTCCCACTTGTATCGTTGCCCACCTTTTTCTCTCTTGCCTTCGACCTTTGCCTCCAATATGGTTTTTTTTAAACGTATTATGAAAAACGGCTGTACCAACTAGGTGTAACCTGCAGTCCGATATAAGTAAAGATGTGGGGAGGGGGTTTCTTTACGTTGACGCCCCTGCACTACAAGCACAACCATGAAACCCACGGTGGGTCACTCAGTATAGAATGAGTCAGGTTAAGGTGCAGAGTGAGTTAGGTTTAGGTACAGTATGAATTTGGTTATTTATAGAATGAGTGAGTTTTAGGTACAACATGAGTTAAAGACGGAGGAACTTTCCGGGCAAACGGTATAAATAAGTGTAATGAAACAGCCAAGGAAGCCGCCGACAGGGTAATAACAGCTCCACCGAATGCGGGATCACCAAATTGGTCTGTTGAAAGGGGGATAATCATCCGCCTGATTGCTGTAACAATGTGGACGACGTGGTCGCGGGCTTTTAGGCGGTTTCTTTTCGGGGTTGACGTCTGAAGGCTGTCTGTGCCTGGGGTTGGGTTGGATTATTTTTATATTGTGACGTGGATGGGTTGTCCATGTCTGGGGTTGGCTTGAATTACTTCTGTATGTGACTTGGATGGGTTGTACATGTCCAGGGTTGGTTTAAATTATTTCTGTATTGTGACGTGGATGGGTTGTCCATGTCCGGGCTTGGGTTGGATTATTTCTGTATTGTGGCGTGGACGGGTTGTACATGTCTAGGGTCGGCTTGGATTTTGTATGTATTGTGATGTGGATAGGTTGTCCATGTCTGGGGTTGGCTTGGATTATTGATATATTGTGACTTGGATGGGTTGTTCATGTCTAGGGTTGGCTTGAATTATTTCTGTATTGTGACGTGGATGGGTTGTACATGTCCGGGGTTGGCTTGAATTATTTATGTATTGTGATGTGGATGGGTTGTGCATATCCGGGGTTGGCTTGGATTACTTCTGTATTGTGGCGTGGACGGGTTGTTCATGTCCGGGGTTGGCTTAAATAATGCATGTATTGTGACTTGGATGTGTTGTCCATGTATGTATTGTGACGGGGATGGGTTGTATATGTCCGGGGTTGCGCCGGGTATTATGTTACATGGCTTGGTCTTCTCCACACAATCGCTAGCTGTCTGCCTCACACGCAGCACAAACTTCGCAGCTCAAGTGACGCACTGGTGGTAGTCATGTTTATAACCTTCTGTCTCGTGTACTTTCTGTCAATTCCGACACAGATGATCTTCCATAGTCTATGCCAGGTGGCACTAAAAGTCATGTCTATGCATAATTTTCTGTCTCGTGTACTTTAAATCGATTCCGACACTACAGATGATCCTCCTCCACGCCACGAGGCCAACTTGTTCTCTCTCGGATTTGCCCTGTTTCGTTTGCTCTCCAACTTTCCCAACGTCATGGTGTAGTACTCCACTGTTCTACTACTCATAACATGACCTGAACGACGCAGTCCGCCAAACTGAACCCATGGTCTTCAAATCGCGAGGAAAATGACTTCCCCACTTAGTCACACAAACCTTCCAACGATATCATGACCGAGTTATAACTTACGCAGTAGCCAGAAGGTATCAGTCCATCCCATTTGAAAGTTAACTCGGTCCCAAACAACGTCTGATGTGTGAGTAATTTTATCCTAATAATCCTCTACATAGTACTTACTACTCATTACTAACATTTGGTCAGAAAATGCTGAAGAAATCTGGCTTCCCCCAATGGTCAATGCAACTATGTAAACTGCCACTTTAAAAGTAAGGTAAACACAGTTGTCTTCTTCTTCTCCCTCCCATCCCCCCATCGAGCATAAAGACAATTTTGCATGATGATTATTTCTTCACTTTGGTATCTTCTGTAAAACCTTCTGGCGGTGAGTTAATGTTCATTCGGGCCCTTAATCCGAACTCACACAGCCTTCACTCTAAAGCTACCAGCGTCGTGCCATGTCCTAGACACAAGAACCGCCACGCTGAGCTCAAAGGGAACAAACCCAAAGCCGAAATCGGATTTATTCCAACCTGAAGAATACATTTCTCAATATCTCGTCCACCGTGTTGTTTGAGCAAACACCGAGTCCCGGCTCGTGTTCAACTCATTCTCCGAGAGTGTACTTTGGGCAAAGACGTGTCCCTTCATCACTTGCGCGCGTCTCCTCATAACAGTCTCCTTTCAGCCACAGTTGGATCTATCGGCAATCGATTCTAATTTGAAATTGCCGAGCAGTTTTATTTTTACGGCAGATGTTTGTCTCGTTTCTCAAACTCTCTAAATCAGACTCCCAAAAATTTGTATTTAGAAAGACAGGGAAACAAAAACAACAAGAAGATTGGGCAGTATGAATGGGTCTTTAATGTCCCTTATGTATTGTGAAATTACATTGTATATTGTTTATGACATGTTAACTATCGAACAGGGGCAGGGATGGGGGGGGGGGGAGCGGCGCGTTAGGGGGGAATCAGGAACATGAGGATGTTTATGATCATGATTTGGATGTTGATGATGATGTTAATCATAATGATGAGTCCGATGATGATACAATAATAACAATAATAATCAAATAATAATAATAATAATAATAATAATAATAATAATAATAATAATAATAATAATAATAATAATAATACCAACAATAATAATCAATAATAATAATAAGAAGAAGAAGAATAAAAACAAGAAGAAGAAGAAGAATAAAAACAAGAAGAAGAAGAAGAAGAAGAAGAAGAAGAAGAAGAAGAAGAAGAAGAAGAAGAAGAAGAAGAAGAAGAAGAAGAAGAAGAAGAAGAAGAAGAAGAAGAAGAAGAAGAAGAAGAAAAAAGAAGAAGAAGAAGAGAAAAAAAAAAAAAAAAAGAAGAAAGAGAAGAAATTAAAGAAACAAAAGAAACAAGAAGAAGAAAAAGAAAGAAGAAGAAGAAGAAGAAGAAGAAGAAGAAGAAGAAGAAGAAGAAGAAAGAAGAAGAAGAAGAAGAAAGAAGAAGAAGAAGAAGAAGAAGAAGAAGAAGAAGAAGAAAAAGAAGAAGAAGAAGAAGAAGAAGAAGAAGAAAGAAGAAGAAGAAGAAGAGGAAGAAGAAGAAGAAGAAGAAGAAGAAGAAGAAGAAGAAGAAGAAGAAGAAGAAGAGAAGAAGAAGAAGAAGAAGAAGAAGAAGAAGAAGAAGAAGAAGAAAGAAGAAGAAGAAGAAGAAGAAGAAGAAGAAGAAGAAGAAGAAGAAGAAGAAGAAGAAGAAGAAGAAGAAGAAGAAGAAGAAGAAGAAAGAAGAAGAAGAAAGAAGAAGAAGAAGAAGAAGAAGAAGAAGAAGAAGAAGAAGAAGAAGAAGAAGAAGAAGAAGAAGAAGAAGAAGAAGAAGAAGAAGAAGAAGAAGAAGAAGAAGAAGAAGAAGAAGAAGAAGAAAGAAGAAAGAAGAAGAAACAGCCGCTGCTGCTGCAGTAAGAAATAAATAAAAATGAAAGAGCGAATTGAAGAAACAGAAAATGGACAATAAGTAAAAAAGAAGAAACAAGGATGATGAGGAGAAAGAAAGAAAGAAAGAAAGAAAGAAAGAAAGAAAGAAAGAAAGAAAGAAAGAAAGAAAGAAAGAAAGAAAGAAAGAAAGAAAGAAAGAAAGAAAGAGTAAGTAAGTAAGTAAGTAAGTAAGTAAGTAAGAATGAATGAATGAATGAATGAATGAATGAATGAATGAATGAATGAATGAATGAAAGAAAGAAAGAAATTATAGTTGCCAGAAAACAGAATCCCGCTATAATCTGGCCACTACAGCCACGGTCTTAACCGGCTGTCAATAGCCCATACCGTTTCCCCGATCAACAAATGTTACTGGGTACTTTCGGACGGCTGAATGTTACTAGGAGATTCTCCACTCCTAGGAACAAATACAACGATTAACCCCGGCACAGGGTCAAAAGGGGAGACTACAGTTCCATAAAGGGGGACTAACGATGTGTAATCAATATTTTTCCGTGATAGAATATAGCTAAATTCTGTTACAAATGAATTCTATGAGTCACAAAGTTCGTGTCCTGTTTCATGCTATATCTGGAAAGATTATGGGGGGGGGGGGGGGGGAGTATATTCTAATAAAAGTGTATGCAGTCTTGCATTTGATAACATGATAACATGAGAGACACATGAGGTGTTGGAGAGAATACGAGAGGGTGAAGGTAGAAAAGTACAAAAGCAGATATACGTATAGAAAGAGTGTAACACAAAAGAGATAGACAAACAGAAAGCACGAAAAAGAGAGAGAGAGACAAATAAAAAGACAGTCAGTCAGTTAGTCAGACATACAGACAGGGAGGCAAACAGACAGGGAGAGGCGCAGACTAAAAGACAGAGGGACAAACATACAGGGAGAGAGACAGACTGTGAAAGACTGAGGGACAAACATACAGGCAGACAGACAGGGAGAGAGATAGAATGTGAAAGACAGAGGGACAAACATACAGGCAGACAGCCAGGGAGAGAGATAGACTGTGAAAGACAGAGAGGCATACAGGCAGACAGCCAGGGAGAGAGATAGACTGTGAAAGACAGAGAGGCATACAGGCAGACAGGGAGAGAGATAGACTGTGAAAGACAGAGAGGCATACAGGCAGGCAGACAGGGTAAAAGAGAGACTGTAAAAGACAGAAAGGCAAACATACCCATGGTGTAGTGGCTAGATGCTCACCGACTGATTGGGTGGCAGTGTGTTCGAATCTTAATGTAGACAAGACTTTTTTTTTAAAATGCCCTTGCTACCAGGTCGACCCAGCCTTGACTGGGTACCAGGTGTAGTCCTAGGAAGTGAAGGCGGCCAGTGCGATGCTGACCACAAATATAGACCCAGCCCTATATGCTTGAAAGCATAGGGAAAGGGTCCTTTACACAAAAACAGAAGATGAGACACGGACTTACCTTCAGATAATAGACCAGCAACTCATTGAGGGAGGGGTCAGCATTGAGGTTGACCAGGAAGGGTCGCCCATGTTCCACCTTGATGCCCGAAGTGACCACAGACACTCCCATCTGTTCCAGAGTTTTCTGCCGAGCCTGGACAAGAGGTATCAAGGGTTTTGATCGAGTTTTTAACAAATCGAACCTTTATTTAAAGGCAAAAGAACTGACATCATTGCATTATGTTATGTCCATACAGCTCTCGCTTTCTTGCATTTGCGCTCTCTCTCTCTCTCTCTCTCTCTCTCTCTCTCTCTCTCTCTCTCTCTCTCTCTCTCTGATTTTTTTTTGTCACGCATTTATTCTCTTCTCTCTTACTCCCTTACTCCTTAGCTCCCTCGCTCTCCCCACATAGTGGTTACTCCCTACTCCGCTCAATCTGCAACACTACAGTCCTGCATAAAGCATCCAACTCCACGGCTTCGTTAGTGCTAATCAGAGTCGCACTCAACAACAACAAAACCGTTTTAAAAAATGAGCCAAGGGTAATAAACCAAATTAATGAAAGTCACATTTATACTTTTCACAATTATCTCCCTTAAACATTGTAAACTGATCTGTTATTTGCAGTGTTACCAACAACTCGGTGTTTTTTTTTTTAGCGAACTACAAATGACGTCACTGGACGGTCTAGTATTTTAAAGGGCGGTAAGGGCGGGTTTTCCGTGTTTTTTTCTTCTTTTTTTTTTTTTTGCTTTATCGCATTTCCTAACCGTAACCATAACCAAAACTTTACACTTAATCTACAACCTCCTGAAATATGTTATACAAGTTGTCCCCATGTGGGATGCAATTTTTTTGTTATTTCAAACCCCACCTTGGCTACTGCCGGAGCAATGAATATAGCTGGGGCATAGATATGGCCTAGCCAAAGTTTTGGCCTAACTGCTGAATAGGGTTTCTGGGAGCTCCCCACAGGTGATCCCCATCCTCATGGTGGCACTTTGTGTCATCGGGTGTTTATCGCTTGTGTGATGTCCTGGTTGGGTACAACCAACTACCCACCTACCTACACCTGAAATATTTGACTCTCCCGTGACCTGTGGATTTTCCATGTTGTCAGCTAATTAGAAAGAACCAAGACAATTCTAGTTTGATTGTTATCAAATTATTTTACCTGATGGATTCTCTCCGTCTCCTGCAGCTTCTCCTCCCAAGTCTTGGACATTTCCTTCATCAGTTTCTCTGACTCGACCAGCCGCTCTGCCACATCTGGAGCTTTCATGCTCTGGAACAGAAACATGCAGAAGATATTACAACACTGGTACATCACATCAACAGTCTTCTTCTGTGTCTAGAAGGATGGCTGGCGTGCTCTTTTGTTACTTACAGCTAGGTTGCAGCAGCAGTGTGAAGACGTGTTGTGTGCAAGTAAAATGTTAAACAGAATAATTGATACACAGTGCTGCCTTTATTGGTGCAATTCAATTTATTGTATTGCCGTTACTCATAAATTAAAACAATGACTTTTACCTCTGAAATGTGATATATTTTTAATATAAATGAAAGGTTTTCATGCGACACGTTGCGTAGTGAAACAATTCATTTAACCTCTGGTTTGTTAGCAGACTGAATTACTGTGTCAGTGAAATTATGTCTGCCTTAATCAACATAAACAGTTAAAAGCTCTGCTTTAGTACTGCACAACTGCGATACGGGGACAGATTTGTAATCCAACTGAAATCTCTTTTGCTCAAACTCCATAGGAAGACAGTAACTTTTCTCAGATAACTCTTATGAAACATTTCCACTGGTTATCTCCCCTGGCGAAATTAAAAAGAGGCTTGTCAGATCAGCCTCATTGAGGTTTTAAATAATGGAGGAAAGAAAACAGATAAAGGAAGAGAATAAAAGTTTGATTGCAATGGGTGCCTCCACCCTTTAAATGAAATTTGAATTTTTTTTTTTTTTTATGTACTGCTTGTAATTATCACTTGTGGTATCGCACTGGTATTTGTAAATTTTGGGGGGGGGGGGGGGGGAGAATTGGTGGGGGGAACGGGCAGATTTGAGGCTGACATTGTAGGGCTGTATGACTAGTTCAGTTGCCACAGACTACACCTATGGATTCGAACCTGTGTCTCCTGAACGATAACCCAGCATTCTTAACTGCTCGACCAGGTGTTCATGACGCATTTGGTAACATCTGAAGATATATGTGATTTACTTATTCTCCATGCAGGGTGTTATCATCTTTCATCTACAAAACAACAAAGATTCTGTTCTATAGATAACTGACCAGAAATCTAGGCATACAAAAAGTGTAACAATGATAATGGGGAAAGAAATAACTCACAAAGCTAAGTGATTACAAACATCCAAAGGAGACAATTGCATTCTTTGGACACGTCAAGACAATGGGAAAAGGGCAGTGAGAAAAAGACAGCAGTACTTCGTGAGAGTGGGAAAATCAGTACACAGAAGGCGGAAATCACCAGTACATCATGAGAAGGGGGGAAATCTACAGCACACTGTGAGAAGGGGAAAATCTCTAGTACATTGTGAAAAGAGGGACAAATCTAGTTCATCATGAGAGGGTGAAAAACTCCAATAAACTGTGAGAAGGTTGGAAAACTCTGGTACGTTAATAGAAGAGGGAAATCTTTAGTACATCATGAGAAAGGGAAAATCTCTAGTACACTGAGAGAAGGGGGGAAATCTCTAGTACACTGAGAGAAGGGGGGAAATCTCTAGTACACTGTTCCAGAACCTAAGTGTTGCATGCATATCTTTTTTACAGATATGATTTTTTTGGGTATGCAGATTGTTGGTTTCTTGCCTCTCAGGCAGATGTGCTAAGATTTTGAAAGGAAGCTCTGAGATAGTTGAATTTTAGGACATGCTTGTTGGGGAAGCAGTGGGTCTACTCTTGTTGCCCCCACAAAGGGGCCACAGAATCCACATGGGGATGAATCAGAAATGATTGACAGTATAGAAGACAGAAGGATGTGGACAGACAAAACTACTAACGCCACACATAAAGGACTAGTATAAATCTGTCCTCACCTGAGCCTCATTGAGCTGAGCCTTCAGCATCTCTACCTCCTCGCGAAGCTCCCGGATGATTCTAGCGTTGGGATCCTCATTGACCACGGCGTGGTTGATGATGCGTTTGGCACGGTCAGCGTAACGAAGGGTGGACAGCGTCTCCTCGTAGTTGTCTGCGGCTGGACTGATGGTGGCCACCATGACAGTCTTACTGTTGCCTCCGAGGTTGTCCTGAGAGAGACGGATCAGGTAGTTATATGTGCATTCAAGTGATGGATGTAGAGCAGAGTGCATAAACAGGTGCATAGATGGTTAGGTACTTGGGAGATTGTGGCAAGAATAGATAAGTGGGTATTTTTTAAGCTAGCTGATAGAGTGGATGTACACACCCACGTATATAGGTGCACAGATGCCTGTATCCCATCCTACATACATAGGCAAGATGGTATGAAAAGAAACATCCATATGCATACTGGTAGGTAGGTAGTTAGATAGGTAGATATGTAGGGGTGTGAGTTTGATCACTAGTGGAGCTTGACTTTTTTTTTTAAAAATAACCTTTGCTCCCAGGTCGACCCAGCCTTAAGTAGGTACCAGGTGCAGTTTTGGGAAGTAAAGGTGGCCGACGCAATGCTGCCCATATCACCCATTTTGTGCCGGTGGTCTTTAAAATTTAGGTCTAACCCTATATACCCTATACGCCTAAAGGGCGTGGAGAAGGGTCCTTAACTTTTTAAAGTTATCTGATAAAAGGCTCAATAAACAATATGTACTGATTCACACCAAGTATGCTTCTTGGGGGGGGGGGGGGGGGAAGAGAGAGAGAGAGAGAGAGAGAGAGAGAGAGAGAGAGAGAGAGAGAGAGAGAGAGAGAGAGAGAGAGAGAGAGAGAGAGAGAGAGAGAGAGAGAGAGGGAGAGAGAGGGAGGGAGAGAAAGAGAGAGAGAGACAGAGAGAGAGAGAGAGAGAGAGAGAGAGAGAGAGAGAGAGAGAGAGAGAGAGAGCACTACTCAAAAATGCTATCAAAGAGAAGTCCATACCTTCAACAACCAGGTGAGCACTGAGTCCCTGTAGGGGACGAACTTGTTCTTGTTCTTCACTGACCCAGACGACTGGTCAGCCAGGGCCGAAATCACCAGACCAAGAGTTGTTAGAGACCTGGTCAATGAAGTATTTTGAAAATAGTGTCAACACAGAAACTCACTTAAGGAACTTTCTTATTTCTACATAAATACACTGAGAAAGTACTACTGTCGCAACAAGATTTCAGATCGTGTCCTCCAGTACAAGGAGGATGCTGTAGAAACTGTATCCATGTTGGTGCAAAGAGTTTACCTTTCATATCTTCTTGTTCAGGGGGCTGCGTGGTCTCGAAGCACGGTGTCCGCCTCGAGTGCTAGAGGTTCCGGGTTCAATCACCGGTTAGGGCTGGGGTTTTTTCACGTGGACTTGGGACTTCTAGTAATTCCCCCTGGTCTCTGACTAGTGAGATCAGACGCCAGTGCAAGTAAAAAAATCCCCTAGCAGTTGGAAATCGAAAAGGGTAGCCTAACGGCGCTGCCCGGGCAAAATTTGGAGTTTAAAATATACCCAAAGTATTTCAGGATCCTCGCCAGTGCTACAGAGCCTGTGCACTGCGCTAAGCTTCTTGGGACTCAGACTTGAGTAAGAAGAAGAACGGAGCACTTATGGGTTACTACCCGTGTGCCATGATGTTGATCCGTTGTTCAAATCTCAAACTTATCTTCTTGTTCGTGCATACAGTCTTACAGTCGGTACCGTGGTGATACCAGTCACCGTGTCTGCCCTCGTAAACGACTACTTAGTTCTGAACCATGATCCTTCATGCTGTGATGCTAAACTTGTCTAACATCCGGCCTCATGGTTTTCCCCTCGTCTCTCTTCGCTTCTGCCTTCCCAATGCCCTGCCAAACTCCGGCTTACCGCTTCCCATGACTTTCCTACAGAATGTGAACTGCCCTCTTCTAGTGCAGGCAATCAATCATTCTCTCTCTCTCTCTCTCTCTCTCTCTCTCTCTCTCTCTCTCTCTCTCTCTCTCTCTCTCTCCCACTCCCGGTGTGTGCTCAGTACGTGTATTATCTGCCCACGCACAATTCAGACAACAGCACCGGGTACATGCCAGAACATTAACAATGACTAAACCTCCAGCAGTAAGCGACTGCATAATGCGAAGGACTTCGGGAAATGCAAAGAGTCAGAGAGAGAGAGAGAGAGAGAGAGAGAGAGAGAGAGAGAGAGAGAGAGAGAGAGAGAGAGAGAAACGAGCGAGATGGAGAGAGAGAGGGAGAGAGACGAGCGAGAGGGAAAGAGAGAGAGGGCGAGAGAGAGACGAGCGAGAGGGAAAGGGAGAGAGAGAGAGAGGGCGAGAGAGAGACGAGCGAGAGAGAGAAAGAGACGAGCGAGAGGGAAAGAGAGGGCGAGAGAGAGACGAGAGAGACGAGGGAGGGAGGGAGGGGAGGGAGAGAGAGAGAGAGAGAGAGAGAGAGAGAGAGAGAGAGAGAGAGAGAGAGAGAGAGAGAGAGAGAGAGAGAGAGACCCACTCACTTATTGATATTGCTTCCCTCCTTCAGGCGGTCCCCCATTGCTCCTGTCTTCTGAGCCCGCTCGCTACCGGCGAGATCCACCAGTGACAGCTTGCTCACCTTCTCGCCAGACACCTGCAAACAGAGAAACATCATTTTTTCCCATTATCATCTTTGATACAGAAATATCCTTCTGCATTATCAACTTTGACAGAGAAACATCATTTCCCATTAGCATCTTTTGACACATAAATATCATTTTTCACTGTCAACCTTGACAGTAAAACATCCTTTCCCATTTTCATCTTTGACGCAGATATATTTATCGCCCATTATCACCTCTGTACAGAAACATCATTTCCCAGTGTCATCTTTGACAAAGAAACATCATTTTCCATCATATCTGACACAGACAGGACGTACACGCAAACATAACACAAGTAAGACAGGCGCAGAGCAGTCGCAAATACCAGGCACAGATAGAACAGGACGTACACAGAAACATAACACAAGTAGGACTAAAAAAAGTGGAGAACAGTCGCGAATCCCATGACACAGATAGAACAGGACGTACACAGAAACATAACAATATAGTAGGACTAAGGCGTAGAACAGTGGCAAATTCCACAGACAGACAGAACAGGACGTACACAAAAGCATAACAAAACAGTTGCAAATCCCATGTGTCACGGAGGTCAGACCTCTATCATTATTCACATGATTTTGTCTGTCAAGGCTGAACACTTTTTTGTGTTTCTTTTCCCACGTTATGGTGTATCTGACGGCTCGGTGATTAAAGACAATGTGGACGAGATAGCCACGAACCTGCGGGATGTCTGACAACAGAAAGTGATTGATGAGCTATAGAATGATGATGAAGATGATTATCTGTCCCGTATTTCTTCCTCTTCTTCCATGGTGCTCTGAGTGTGTATGATTGTCTATACATGATGTGTATATGATTGCCTATACATGATGTGTGTATGATTGCCTATACATGATGTGTGTATGATTGCCTATACATAACGTGTGTATGATTGCCTATACATGATGTGTATATGATTGCCTATACATGATGTGTGTATGATTGCCTATATATACATGATGTGTGTATGATTGCCTATACATGACGTGTGTATGATTGCCTATACATGACGTGTGTATGATTGCCTATACATGATGTGTGTATGATTGCCTATACATAACGTGTGTATGATTGCCTATAAATGATGTGTGTATGATTGCCTATACATGACGTGTGTATGATTGCCTATACATGATGTGTGTATGATTGCCTATACATGACGTGTGTATGATTGCCGATATAGGATGTGTGTATGATTGCCTATACATGATGTGTGTATGATTGCCTATACATAACGTGTGTATGATTGCCTATACATGATGTGTGTATGATTGCCTATACATGATGTGTGTATTATTGCCTATACATGATGTGTGTATGATTGCATATACATGATGTGTGTATGATTGCCTATACATGATGTGTGTATGATTGCCTATACATGATGTGTGTATGATTGCCTATGCATGATGTGTGTATGATTGCATATACATGATGTGTGTATGATTACCTATACATAACGTGTATATGATTGCCGATACATCATGTGTATATGACTGCCTATACATGATGTGTGTATGATTGCCTATACATGATGTGTGTATGATTGCCTATGCATGTGTGTATGATTGCCGATACATGATGTGTGTATGATTGCCGATACATGAGGTGTGTATGATTGCCGATACATGATGTGTGTGTGATTGCCTATTCATGACGTGTGTATGATTGCCTATACATGATGTGTGTATGATTGCATATACATGATGTGTGTATCATTGCCGATACATGATGTGTGTATTTGCCTATACATGTGTGTATTATTGCCTATACATGATGTGTGTATGATTGCATATACATGATGTGTGTATGATTGCCTATACATGATGTGTGTATGATTGCATATACATGATGTGTGTATGATTGCCTATACATGATGTGTGTATGATTGCCTATACATGATGTGTGTATGATTGCCTATGCATGATGTGTGTATGATTGCATATACATGATGTGTGTATGATTACCTATACATAACGTGTATATGATTGCCGATACATCATGTGTATATGACTGCCTATACATGATGTGTGTATGATTGCCTATACATGATGTGTGTATGATTGCCTATGCATGTGTGTATGATTGCCGATACATGATGTGTGTATGATTGCCGATACATGAGGTGTGTATGATTGCCGATACATGATGTGTGTGTGATTGCCTATTCATGACGTGTGTATGATTGCCTATACATGATGTGTGTATGATTGCATATACATGATGTGTGTATCATTGCCGATACATGATGTGTGTATTTGCCTATACATGTGTGTATTATTGCCTATACATGATGTGTGTATGATTGCATATACATGATGTGTGTATGATTGCCTATACATGATGTGTGTATGATTGCCTATACATGATGTGTGTATGATTGCCTATGCATGATGTGTGTATGATTGCCTATACATGATGTGTGTATGATTACCTATACATAACGTGTATATGATTGCCGATACATGATGTGTATATGACTGCTTATACATGATGTGTGTATGATTGCCTATACATGATGTGTGTATGATTGCCTATGCATGTGTGTATGATTGCCGATACATGATGTGTGTATGATTGCCGATACATGAGGTGTGTATGATTGCCGATACATGATGTGTGTGTGATTGCCTATTCATGACGTGTGTATGATTGCCTATACATGATGTGTGTATGATTGCATATACATGATGTGTGTATCATTGCCGATACATGATGTGTGTATTTGCCTATACATGTGTGTATGATTGCCGATACATGATGTGTGTATGATTGCCTATACATGATGTGTGTATGATTGCCGATACAGGATGTGTGTATGATTGCCTATACATGATGTGTGTATGATTTCCTATACATGATGTGTGTATGATTGCCTATATATGATGTGTGTATGATTGCCGATACAGGATGTGTGTATGATTGCCTATACATGATGTGTGTATGATTGCCTATGCATGACGTGTGTATGATTGCCTATGCATGATGTGTGTATGACTGTCTATACATGACGTGTGTATGATTGCCTATACATGATGTGTGTATGATTGCCTATACATGATGTGTGTATGATTGACTATACATGATGTGTGTATGATTGCCTATACATGACGTGTGTATGATTGCCGATACAGGATGTGTGTATGATTGCCTATACATGATGTGTGTATGATTTCCTATACATGATGTGTGTATGATTGCCTATACATGATGTGTGTATAATTGCCGATACATGATGTGTGTATGATTGCCTATACATGATGTGTGTATGATTGCCTCTACATGATGTGTGTATGCTTCTTCAGGGCGGTGACTAACTTATCACGTAAAGGCGTGGTGGTGACGGGGCATGGTCGCCGGCGCCGTTTATCACTGCACACGACATGACACCGACAAGTGAATGGGCGGAGCAGATGATGACACAAATGAGTGCTACGTGTAATTTTTCATCTGCTGGTCATATGAATACATTCGGTATTTCCGTTTGCTCATCGATCAGTCACAAGACAGTGGTTTCAGGGGGGGGGGGGGGCCTGCGTGGTCTCGAGGTATGGTGTCCGCCTCGAATGCTAGAGGTTCCAGGTTCAATCCCTGGTAAGGGCGGAGATCTTGTCATGTGTACTTGGACTTCTAGAAATTCCTCCTGGTCTCTGGGATATGAGATCGGACGCCCGTGTGCATTGTTGACCACGTAAAAAATTCCTTGGCAGTTGGAATCGAATAGAGCAGCCTAACGGCGCTGCCAGGGCAAAATGTGGAGTTAAAAATCAACCTTAAGTATATCAGGATCCTCGCCGGTTCTACATAACCTGTGCAATGTGAAGAGCTTCTTCGGACTCAGACCTGAGTTAGAAGAAGAACGGAGCACTTATCAGTTACTACCCGTGTACCATGATGTTGATCCGTTGTTCAAACCTCAAATCTCAGCCCATATAATTGCTATGTTATTCTCACCAGCGAGAAACGGGTTTATTCTCAGATAGGAGAAATGAGTTTATTCTCAGCTCGGACAAATGCGTTTTTTCTCAGCACTGGGGGAAATGGGTTTATTATCTGGTCGGAGAAATGCGGTTTATCCACAGCGAAAGCGGTTTAACCACTTTGGAAACGGCTTAATCATTAGCCACAATTTGTTAGACTTTAAAAAAAAAAAAAATATATATATATATATATATATATATATATATATATATATATATATATATATATATATATATATATATATATATATATAAGTTGTTAACCCTTTTGCTCGGCACTATGGATATCGCAACCCTTCGGCCTTAGTTCCATGATAGCTACCGTAAATCTGGGAGAAATTTTGCTTTTCTGACTATCCCCGGACCACAGTGAGTTCGTCACCCGGTCGCCGCGAAGTCCGATTTAACCAGCTACGCTAGGAATGACAATCTACCAACGCATAATTTGTTACCTTTCAAACAGAGACTTCTTCAGTGGTTTCGGTGTGGACCAGTATTCTTAAACCATTTTATATTCACTGCCAAAAACTGCCAATTACTCAATATATGTACTACTTTTGTTGTTTTAGAGGAAGGAGGGGGGGGAGGAGGAAGATAGGCGGGGTCTTTCGAGAAAGAATCCACAATTAGTCGTCTTTTTCTACATGCTTGATAGAGAGAGGGCCAGAAGGACTATCCGCTGAGGTGCATAGCTGAGCCGGACATCCACGCACCCCCCCCCCCCCGGGCGCTTCCCCGACCCTCGACCCCTTCGCCCAAAGAGGAATGAAGAAGACAAGGGCAGGGCGAAGATCCGATGGCAGGTGAACGTGACCTCTATCGCACCTCTTTCAGAGTTAATAGACATACGTACCGACATTTGATCAAGATAAGATATGAAAAGGCGTGTGGTCACATCAACAATTCTCACAGCCTTTCTGGAACATTTATACACAGACAAAGAGAGCATGAGACCGCCGACCCCCCCCCCCCCCCCCCCCCCCCCTTCTACCACCCAAAACAGTCTATTT